CCCAGGGTGGAGCTGAGCTCACAGTGCACTTGACGGAGGCCCTGAGGGGCACGAGGTGGCCACACAGGGTCCCCAGGGTGGAGCTGAGCTCACAGCGCACTTGACGGAAACCACACAAGGTCCCCAGGGTTGAAATCATCACAGCAGACGACCTCACCTTTCTCCCCCAGAGCGTGGGGCCGCCCACCTGTGTGCCCCCGGCTACCCCTCACCTTGATGGCCTCCACGGAGTCATACTTGTCCAGCTTGTTGATGTGGTTGGTGATGCTGGTGTTGAGCGGGGCGGGCGAGACAGGGTGGATGACAGTGGCATCGTGGGACTGCTGCTGGTACCGCTGGCAGTAGGTGTAGACCAGCAGGGTGAGCAGGCAGCCCAGGATGGAGCTGCTCAGCCCCACGGCCAGCATGTGGAACATGTTGAACTCTGGAGAGACAGAGCAAGAGGAAGCTGCACGTGAGGAGAAAGCCGGGGACCCCACGGCACCCACACTAGGCTGCACGTGGAGAGAGAGCAGGGGACCCCACGGCACCCACACTAGGCTGCATGTGGAGAGAGAGCGGGAGACCCCACGGCACCCACACTAGGCTACACGTGAGGAGAGAAAACAAGGGACCCCATGGCACCCACGCTATGAGGGACCTGTTCCAAAAGGAAAGTCTGGGCCCCACAAAGTTTCTTCACCATGATGGCAAAGTGCTCAGGTCACGTCCCAGCTACGCGGCGAGGCTCTGAGCTGTGCCTCAGATCTGGACACATGAGCAAAGCTGGCCACCGGGAAGGAGCAGACCCAGGGCAGGACAACCCGCTGGGGGAGCAGAGGGTCACGAAAGGGAGGAAGCCTCTCAATGAGACGGGCTGAGGCAAGACTGGAACACGGGGCTGGAGCAGCCTAGAGCCCCTGAGCCGCACAGGGCTGGCGACACCCCACTCCACCGTGCGCGGGGCTGCTAGACTCTGAGCTGTATCAGGAGCAGCGGACCAATCCAATTTTGGGGGAGTACCGCGTCCCCGAGGTTTGCACATCGTCCGAGGCCGCCCCTCTGGGTCAGGGGTGCACATCCTATGGCCTGTGGGCCCCGAAGAGATGCTTTCTGGGTGCTGTTTAGCATGGCTGAACCTCCTGACGCCCTGACGGAGCCCCAGGAGGACGGGGATGCCGGGCTGCCTTCCATCACTGCTCGGGGCGCACACTGCCAGCCCTTTTCCTCCAGGACTTCATCTCGTTTTGAAATGCTTTACTCTTACAGAGGTATTTTTCCTGTATCTACATAAATATTCTTATATAATTAATTAATACAAATGGCCATTTTAACCATATTTAAAGTAAAATTCAAGCCTACTATCCATGTTCAGAGTTTCTCAACCCCAAACCTAAACTCAGTTCCTCTTCAGCAGTGACAGCCCTCGTTAGATCTGTGATGATGAACTTCTAAGATTGCCGTCATTGTTGGAGCCTCTGAGCTAGGTCTGACTTGGCGAATGGACGGCAGAAAAGAGCCCTTTGCTTTGTTCAAGCCGGTTGGCGCACCCCGTCGGATTGGTGAAACAAGCCTTCCCGTTTCCACGACGCTCCTTCACCAAGCGCGATGTCTCCCACCCAGGACGGCTCCCTGTGACGCCAAAGTAGGAGCCTCTGAGTGTCGCCAGGCTCACTGCTAAGGGGCATCTGGAGACAGTCACACAGCCACTTCCCTGAGGGCCTGACCGGAACCCGCGTGCCACCACCGGCTCACGCACAGGGACGCGTGCACGCTGTCGCCCAAGGAGGGACCACAGTGCGGGTGTCTGCTGCCTTCGGCCTGGGAGTCACACACATGGACGTGTGTACCCTGTCGCCCGAGGAGGGACCACGGTGCAGGTGTCCGCTGCCTTCGGCCTGGGTATGTGTGCCTGGGCGTGTTACTCATAGCACTGGCTTCACATACACTGTGTTTTAGAAATCTTCTCAAGAAAACAGGTTACTAAAAAGGTGAAGGAAGTTCTCCAACTAACATCATTGCTTCTTAGTAACTGGAGAAATCCCTGACTGTGGTCTTCCCCAGTGTAATGTTTCCTGATCTCCTGACTGCTGATACCAAGAGTGTTTGTTAGTTGCGGATTCAAGTAAGATGAAGTTGTTGACAGTTTCATTCTTCTTTTCTGCCTATCATGACGTGCTTATTGGCCCAGTGGTGAGAATTTTTGTTTTCTTGATGTTGAGATGCAATCATATTGAAGGGAGCAGGGTCTCATCTTCTTCAGAAGGTGCTTCAAGTCCTTCTCACCTTCAGCAGTCAAGGTTGTGTCACCTGCTGACATTTTCCATGTTCTGACACACTTGAGCCCACTGCTGTTGTCACTGTCAATCCACCTGATTGAGGGTCTTCCTCTCCTTCACTATTGCCCCATCTTTCCAAGCATGATGTTCTTTTCCAAGAAACAGCCTCTCTTGGCAGCATACCCAAAGCATTCAGAACATTCAGCATGGAACCTCTGAAAGCCTGGCTGCTAACAGCTGCCCATGACCTGGGGTCCATGGCACCTGGCCCGCTCTCCAGGTTATCCCTCCTCAGCCCTCCTCGACCTGTGTCCCCAGATGAGGCCCTCAATGAATTCTTCTGCCTGCCCCATCTGACACTACGTTTGACTCACAGTGACATCACAGAGAAGTTTATGTGCTGGTATTTATGTGCTGACATACTGCTGGTATTTCAACTGGCACCAAGGTCCACATACAGTGGATGGGTCTCAGCAGAGATTCTAACTAAGAAAGACCAAGAACAATGGGCAATGACGTATTTCTGAAAACCAGCCAGCGGGAGCCCTGTGGATCTCAGCAGAATGCTATCCAACATGCCTGCTTTGGACACATCATCTGAAGAGGCCAGTGTCTGAAGGAGGACATTGCCTTTGGTGATATAAAAGACCAACGAGGACAGAGAAGAACCCAGATGAGAGGCCCAGTGGCTGAAGTGATGGACTCAGACATCGTGCCTCTCCATCCATCCATCCATCCATCCATCCATCCATCCATCCATCCTTCCTAGTGACCTGGAGGTCAAAGGCTAATTGCCCAGGGTTGTAGTATAAATATACTGTAAATGTAACCAAATTTCTTGAATTCCGTTTTGCTCACAGGGAACTTAAATGTCACTACTATCATTGTTCTAAGTGGTACAGTACTTGTCTGTCGGTTTGCTGTACTGAGATAATCTGGGGTTGTTATGATACTGAAACCTGTACCACTGGTGTGTTAAATGCCATAGGTTTACACATGGTGGACAAGGTTTAGTAGAGCTCCCAGATTAAGACAGACTTGAAAGCAGGGTTGGCATCAACTTTTTAAATAATAAGCCTTTGAAAACCCTGTGAACCCTAGAGGACCAAGGATAGTTATAGAACAGGGGTCACAGGGTCACCATGAGTTGTACTCAACTCAATGACACCTAACAACAAAAACATCAGGATTGAGGGTTCAGGAAGTGTAGCTTTCATCAGAATCACCTACAGGACATGGAGAACCACAGACTGCTGGACAATCCGCCCAGGTGTTCTGATTTTATAGATCAAGGTAGGGCTGAGAATCTGCATTTGAAAGTCTGGGGTGATGCTGGTGATGCGGCCCTGGAGACACCACTACGAGTCCCAGCGGTCCAGATGAAAATCACTGGTGTCGGTGACACTGAGTCACTCCTGACTTCCAGGAACCCCAAGTTCCACAGACTCAGACACTGACTAGACTTATACCATCTTCACAGTCATGGCTTTGATTCAGCCCAGTGTTGTAGTCACCTGGCCAATCCACACACTAAGGGTCTTCCCTGTGAACTGGCTGCCAGAAACCCTGTGGTAAGGACAGAACACGGTCTGAGCTAGCTTTGGACGTATTGCCGAGAGAGACTGGTCCTTGGAGGAGGACATCATTCTAGGTGATGTAGATGCAGAGAGAGTGGAGAAGAGCCTGGGGGAGGAACACAGTGACCTAGTGTCCAATGGTGACCACTGACATTCACACACCCAAGGTGGAAGGTGCCTGGGGCCCAGGGGTTCCTCCGAGCTGTCATTTGTAAGAGGCCAACAGCACACACATCACATATAGCCACTGTTTGGAAGCGCTGTGCAGCTGTCAAGGGGAGCAGATAATTCAGCAGTGGGTACTGGGGATGACTGTCCCACAGGGCGGACAGAAGCAATACGGTCAGACGACCAATATGGGAAACTCTGGACAATGTTGTGATATGGACGCATTCACAACCACAAAGCTTAATTAAAACACAGGGAGGGAAAGTGAGCAGAAGGCCGGGATGGCAGTGAGCGGCCGGAGCACTTACCCCCACACCTCTTCTCTTCCATACTGCTGGACCTGGCCACCGACACTTCTGAGGAAGCAAGAACAACCAGTGTGAGAATGAGAGGTGGAGGGCGGGGGCCAACGCTTCACTGCACACGGAGCGCCGCTGATTTTCACCGAAAGGAGTCGCGCTCCACAGCCTGAGGTGTCTTTAACCCTGACATTTATTTCTTGTTTCCACTGGACTCCCCTGAGAGCTACCTGGTTAAGGTTACCTTGAATGGGAACGGGAGAAATTCATTAGCTGAGACACAAAACGCTGCATTCTAATCCACACCTGACTGGATGTCTTGGAAGTCTAGTGCTAATATTTTCCTCTAAGATATTTTATTTCCCACAAATGGACACAAGTGGAGCAGAGTTGGTCCAGAGGCTTCACTCAGGCACGGGGTGGCCACAGCGGCTTTCCCAGGTCCCACAGGGACCTCTGGTTGACACGTGCCGAGTTTCTCCTGCACAATGAGCCGGCGACAGATGACCAGCGGTCACTAATACCCAGCACTGACTCTCCCTGAAGATTACACCAGGTCACAGAAAGGCAGGGAACCACTTCTGCTGAGTGAGGGTGGCAGCCCAGCCCAGCCGACACTCATGACGGAAGGTCTCCATTTCCCCAAATGCGTGAAAGCTGCACAGACCCGGGTCCTTTCTCTGTGTAAAACATGCACAGCTCTGCCAATGCAGTTACACAAACAACAAAAGCGTAGAATAAATATGTTCATTCTTTATTTGAAAAATTTTGTTTAAATTAGTCAATAAATTATAGAGGCATCTCACTTAAAAAAAAAATCTTAAGTTCAAGAACTAAAGTATTAACCTGCTCTTGTCTAGACAACTAGATAACTTGGAACACCACAAAACCAAACACTGGATAAAAGTGGCATTTCACCAGACAGAGGCTGCAGAACAGAGAAGGCTGACCCCTGAATCCTGTTATCCCAGTGTCAGTTACATCTCCACGCCAACCACAGCTTCCCCTCTGTGCTGTCCACTGCCCTCCATCAATGTAGTCCACACTTCTCCCTCCACGCTGTCCACAGCTCCCCCACCACGCCATCCACACCTCCCCCTCTGCACTAACCCAGCACTCCCTTACCGGGGATGAAGTTCGAATCCAAGGCACATGGCCGGCTCTCGGTGGTGTTCCCAGAACACTGGCTGCCCACAGGGAACAGGAGGACGCACTGGCGGACGCGGACCTGGACCCCAGAGGCATCACATGGCAACCAGTCCGACCACTCAGACCAGCTCTCTGCAGTGACCAGGGAGGACAGATCCGTTAATGCCAATGACAGAAACAAATGACAAGGTCCTGTAGTCTCCCGGAGATGGTTCAAAGACGGTCCACATGTGAACTCACGAAAAGGTCAAACTCGCCGCCATCAGCTCGCACTGACTCAGAGCTGCTCCCCCCGCGGTTTGCCGTGACCGTGGGTCCCACGGAAGAGGGATCCCTCTTCCAGAGCTTTGGGGGATTCGAGCTGCCCGGGAGGCACTGTGCGGGTTAGCACTGTAACTTCCCAAAGCCGACAGCACCGCGGCCACCTCTCGGGAGTGGTCCAGGAACTCAGTGCGTGTGAACAGAAACAAAAGTGCCTGGTGCGGCTGCTCTGTCCCGTGGAGTCAGAACCAACCCTCCGGGAGGATTTCTGAGGCAGGAAACGGCAAGGAGAGGACCATCCGTCCTTCTTCCATGGAGAAGCTAGTGGATTCGAACTGGGTGCCTTCAGGTGGGCTCCTTACTACCAGGCAACCAGAGCTCCCTATATCCTCATCAAAAGTGAAGTTGGGTAACGTTTCTGAACTCAACCGTTTTCAATTGTTAAAAGAACAAACAGTTCTGTCTGAGGGTAATTGCACGGAGTGCTCCCTAGAATCCAGGATGGAGAGACTGTCTCCACACTCCAGGCATGTGGTAAGGAGGGCCCACGTCTTGGACAAAGACACCACGCTCGCAAAAGCTGAGTGGCGGTGAAGGAGAGGAAGCCGCCCAGTGGCTGGCATGGTGATGGCTGTCGAGGGCCCAGGCTCAGCAGGGGCTCTGAGGACAAGTAGGGTCAGTGCAGCTCCAATGTGTGGCACAGGAGGTCACTACAGTGCTGGCCCCGTGGCACTGACAGCAGCATGGTTTATCCAGTGACAGGCGCTGCTGGTGCATGCATCCCAAGGTGGGCCACTGCCCAGAGGCCAGCAGTTCGAATCCACTAGCTGTCCCAAGGGAGAAGGATGGCTCTTCTCCTCACATGACAGGGGTCAGTCAGGGCTGGGGTCCATCAGATTGAAGTGGGGCGGTTTGGGGACTTATAGCTAAAGATGTACGAAACAGGTCTGTGTAAAAGATGCTTATTTCAGTTTAGAAGAAAACAAGAGGTGTCTCTGTATTACCCATGAAGTGTGTCAAGGGACGGTTTACAAGGCTGTTTTCCACTCCTGTGTCTCCCCTGGTTCTATCTGGGTTCCGTTTTGGTAGTGAGGCAACGTTGCGGTGAGCAGACAGGGGCCCAGAGCTGGCTGTACGGTGACAAGCCTCCTTAGAAAGGGGAGAGTAGTTTCCAGAATGACTGACAGTCAGTTCCAGGGCACTCTGTCACTGTACCTTCTAGAAACATCTGCAGGAGCATGCTGAAATAAAGTCTGCATGTTTCACCATCAACCTCAGACCAGGGGACAGTGCCTTGTTTTCATTCAGCAAGCAGATATACTTCTTTTTTTTTTAATTTTTTTTTTTTTACAGATATACTTCTTATGTCCAGAAGGCAGCAGGATTGACTGGGGAGCCAGGTCACCAGCAGGTAAGAGAGCTCCCCCATATACACCCTGAGAATATTCTCCGAGGGCTGTGATGGGCAAGGGCCCTCTGCTCCTGGTCACACCGGGTAATGCCAAGTAAAGTGATTCCTTGAATAAAGTACTGAAGGGAAGAA